TTTCTTTTTCCTCCAACAACTGCTGTAATCTCTCTTTTTTATTTTGTTGTTCGGGCTGCCACTGTTGCAGGTTTACTTGTAACTGCTTTTGTCTCTCTTCTTGTTTCTTTTCTTTTTCCTCCAACAACTGCTGTAATCTCTCTTGTTTTTTTTGTTGTTCGAGCTGCCACTGTTGCAGGTTTTCTTGCAACTGCTTTTGTCTCTCTTCTTGTTTCTTTTCTTTTTCCTCCAACAACTGCTGTAATCTCTCTTGTTTATTTTGTTGTTCGAGCTGCCACTGTTGCAGGTTTTCTTGCAACTGCTGTTGTCTCTCTTCTTGTTTCTTTTCTTTTTCCTCCAACAACTGCTGTAATCTCTCTTCTTGTTTAATTTCTCGTTCTTCTTGTTTCTTTTCTTGTTTATTTTCTCGTTCTTGTTTCTTTTGCTGTTCTTGTATTGCTGCCATCAAGTCTGCTATGCTGTAGTTTGATTTGCCGCGTCTCGTTTCCATTTTTTTTATCCCACTCTCTGACACCAATTTGTTACGTCTTCGTTTGTTAATTGATTTTCCGTAACTTCGTTCGGACGAAACTTTAGCGACACAAGTCCTTACTTAATAAAACTGGTTTATTCTTTCCATACGATACACTCAACTTCACAGTCGCGCTAAAACAAACGCTATGTTGCGTCAGCGAGGTCACGTGACTCGTTCTCTCAAACCTTCGGGAATTGTCGGGAGATTACTAGATATAGGGTAGTCTGGTATATATAAGAGGGTGACAACGTGACGGAAAAACAATGTGTGTGTAGGTAGTGAGTAATTGAACTGCAGTCAGGAAGTATTGTTGAAGTTAACGTTCGTTGTTAAAACGTTTGTAAAAGATCGACTGTTGAAAATAAGTGTATCGGTAAAGTTATATTCAGAAAGAATAAAACAGTTTTATTAAGGACTTGTGTCGCTAAAGTTTCGTCAGAACGAAGTTACGGAAAATTAATTATCAAACGGAGACGTAACAGCTATAACGAACGTTAACTTCAACAATACGTCTCTCCCTGACTGTAGTTCAATTACTCATTACCTACACACACTCCCCCGTCGCGGTGTGGGAGTTTTATATATATATATATATATATATATATA